ATTATTGTAGAATTATGAAAATTAAGAAAATTAAGAAAATTAAATATTTGAAATCCTTAAAATGAATCTAGCAGTTTAGGAAATCGAATATATTTTTAGATTATATTCTGAAGAATTTAGAATACGTATTCTTATTTTTTCAGAATTCATTAAAATTGTCAATAATCATTCTTTATATACCTAGTACTTAGTGACGATTTTTCTTTGTTTTCGTGTGCATTGGTGTTTTAATATGATGCATAAATTGTGGTGTATGGAAATTGTTTAAGAAAATTGGTGATGGAACAATATTGTTTGTTGGTTGTCCCACTTCTTGTCCATGTTGCTAAAGAGAAAATCGTTGTGGAGTTGCAAGATTTTTTCCAAAGATTCACATACAACACTACGTCTCTTTTAGCGACCGAGTATGATCCAGGTTGTTTTTCAGTTGAAATGCCAGAAATCGAGTTTGCGAGAGCTTTAGATGATGCTGAGGAAGCGGTCTTCTTTAGACATGTCAAGCCAGAGTGGGTGTGGAAGATGCAAAGATTTATTGTATACCATTTATAATTATTTAAACGACATAGACACATCACCAATTTCCAAGACGCACAAAGAAAATGCTTATATATCCCCTATGAGTACATAATCAAAAATCAAGCTGCCATTTGGTATATCTCATATACAAAAAAAGACAATTTTAAATCATCTCTAATGGCTTTGATGAGCTTGTTTGAAATCTTTATTGCTTTCTTTTGTTTTCTCCTCTTTCGACGTTTCTTGATTAGCAAGAACCCTCACTGCTTGTGTCACACAAATTGGCCATTGTCGTCATAATGGAATCGACTGATCCAAACTTGTGTGAAGTCATTGGCATTGATAAAGATTTATAGTAACTGTATGCCTGAGTAGAAAAATGCAAGATAAGAAGGTGATTCTAACTTGTGATTGATGAAAACTGCCTTATAATTGAAGTCTCTTAACTCAAGAACCATGAGAAACCAGAATGATATAATACCTCATTGGTCTTTGAACCACATGTCAGGAGAAGACAAAAGATGCAGAGCCAGAAGAAGCAATAGACTAAAATTCCCACATTATTATATTGCAGAGTATTACTCTTTTAATGGTGACAAGACTTATTAAGAATAAGAGTTGATGCAATCGAAAGTTGAAAATAGCTAATGATAATCTACAATTAAACTAATTTCTCTAATCAGTTGGTTTTGCAAGACAAAAACAAAAATCTCCTCTTCTAAATACAACAATACTAGGGCTAAAATCCAAATACACATCCTCTAGAGCATAGAATAATTTCCATTATAAAGAAAAATTATTGTGTAATTCCCGGAGTTTAAGTGGAGTGTTTCTTCCGTGAGTCATAGTGTACAAAGAAATCGCTCGTCGGAGAAAAAGAAGAGAAAGAGGTAGCTAACCTAATGTGATTTCTCTTTGTCAATAAGAGGGTTCAATTTCAAACCTATCGTTTTCTTCAATTCAAAATTATTAAATTTAGATTCTAAAAACAATTTTCCAATTCTGAAAATTAGGGGTATAACAGGATTTTAATTATTCAAAGGTTTAGATCACCAAACCTCAATAACAAAAATATACATGGACAAAAAAGAAAAAAACATCCTTTATTTTCAATTTTCCCAAAAATCATTATATTTCCCATGAAAAAAATATTTTTTTAAAAATAACCACATAAAATTATCTATGGGATATTACGTTTTCTGTTTTTATTAGAAATAAATATTGGGATAGTCCAAGATATTCTACTGTAATATCTAAAAAATATAACAAAACAATCTACACTTTTTCAAATCTCTATATATATTATTAATGTACACAATAGTTTATACATCACAAACTCACTTCTTAACTTTTCATCTACTATTAAGATGTCGAGCACACCAAAACAAAACTCTTCATTAGTACTTTTTGACAATATTTTGACATCTTCGAAACACACAAAAAATCAAAACTCAAATTATTGTCTTATAAAAATTTTTTTAGTCTAGAAGAAATTCCACTGAAAAGGTATTAGTAGATGAAGAGGTTAGTTATTTGTATCACAATTTAATATTTATATTGTTTCTGACTATCCAATTATACTTGGTATTATGTAATTGTTTTGCTCATTGATGATTATAGAATTAGTCTTTATAGAAACTTAGGTATATGTACTTATAACGATGTTATTCATTGATTTTAATGTATGGTAAAACACTTATTACGCCTTGATGCAACTAGTACTAGGTCTTTATAAAATACATTTTGTTTAAACAAATTGTCTTTACTCTTTGCATACAGGGAACAAGAATACATGCAACCATTGAAGATGATATGTTTTTAAAGAGCTCAAACAAGGTAATTCAATAACATTCAAAGCTTTCCAAGA